AATGCAGCTCCCTTTGAATTTAAAACCTTGCTAAATTATTTAGCGCTACCTATCACAGACTCTGATTAAATTTTGCAGAGGGTAGTGAGATTATTTCCCAGGTAGGTCATCACTCAGTTCAGTTTACCACTTAAAATTTTTTTCATTCTCAGTAAAAATACAGCAAGGACCATCCATCATTATCACTTTGTCCTTTAATTTTTCTGTCAGCCTTTGTCAAGCTTGAAACAAAAGCCTTTACATTTTTATCAACAGCAGCCATTGTTGCCTGAATTGTGCTCAGTCATTTCAGAGTATCAGTTGTGTTTTTACCAAACAAGTCAAATATTTTCAATAGGTCAGATCTATCTTTCACATAAATCTGCTAAACCAAATAGAACCATTTCTCATTTCTTTGGAAATGGAAAGTAAAAATGCTTAGGGCCAAATCTGCAGTGAGAGTAATTTGGCCAAGTTCCCTGCACTTAAATGGATGAATGACTTCTGCCTTCATAGGAAGAATGTGGTATCAATTCAGGAAAGAAGGAGAGGTAAATAGAAAATCATGGCTGGGCAGGGCCTGGCAGTGTTTTGAGCTGATCTTGCACAACTCTCTGTCCTGCCACGAATATACAGACTACATCTATACTTCTCTTGAAGAGCAGCCTCCAGAACAAGCCAAGCATTACATGCTCCTTCTCTTACCACTGTTTGCGCGCCAGCAACCAGCAAATTACCTGCTCTCTGCCTTCGAATTGCTAGTGCTAATGCTAGCTTAATGGCATGCTAGCATACCATGGTGGCTCATGGAGAACACCTTTCTAAAACCTTCACCACATTTTCCTCTTCATCTACTGATCCGTGACATTACTGCAGGTCCTTACTTGAAAGGGATTTCTTTACTGAGTGATTGCAGCTTGTCTCAAACCCCTCTGTGCCACTAGAGACAGATTAGAAGTTCACCTCTTCCATTGAAAATCCAGCTCGTGTTTTAGATGTATTATCTTAGGAGCATGCATGAACTGAAGCAACAGGGACTAGGGTCAGTAACTCTCCTAGATGTGAAGTCTAACCCTTTTTCTATTTCGAAGAACCTTTATGGAAACAATCTGTGGTCTGTGAATTGTTTATATTTTAGAGGTAACCTGGTGATGAAATTTAGTAATTATATTACTAAATTTTTGACTGAGTACCTATTTGTCAACAAATATTCATTTTAGGAGTGGGATTTCAAAATTAATGGTAACCTTTACTGCTAGACTTCTGAATCTCTGTGCATGGCTTTTCTATCTTGTTAGGGTCCCCAGTTACAAAATGTGGCTATTTTCTGCTCGGCAAGACACTACAGTTAAATACTTTTAATATTAACGAAACAGTGATCTGGTACATTGATTTGGGTATGGGTACTTGAATTAAAAAGACCCACTCAATGAGATCTCTTGGTCATAATGATCCGTGGTATTATAAACAAAGATTTATTTTTGTCTGAACAAGAGCACATTCTGTACAACTTGATTCAGAAGTTCCAAGGCCAAAAAATGGAATTAAATTTCATTCAAACAGATTCGATGGACAGAAAGCTTTAAATCTATTCTATTAGGATACTTGTTGATGGAGAGCTAAGAAAGGGGACAGAAACAATCTCTGATAGTGTGCTTCTTTGCAGCTTTTGTTAGGAAGCTCAGGATGACCTAATGTGTGCTTCTGTAGTGACATAATACAGATGTACCCCAACGTAAAAACAAGGACAACAAGGTTCTACTGGACTAGAAACAATCAAATAGTAAATCCCTTTTCTGGCACATAAATGAAACAGCACTTCTTCAAACAACGCTGAGTGTGATTCATGACTTAATCAGAAGCCTGTATTGTTGATATCAGTTATACTTGCAACCTGTCTGATTTTTGGAACTAGCAAACCCACTTACCTCCTACAACTTGCTTCATTTCAATAAATGATGAGAGCATGAGGTGCACTGTACTCAATTTTTCTTTCCTTTGAATCCCATATTTTGTATTCTCTTATCCAAAAGCATTTTCAAGGAAAGATGAGAAAAGTATTTGCAAGAATTCATAAATCTTCTTGGAAGAACTGATGAGGAGCTTTGTGTGACAGACAGTCAAGCAGTAAGACTAGGGGTCCTATATGCGTAAGTTCATTGAATGTGGGACTTGGATGCTTTTCTAAACATCAGTCTATATCTAGATTTGAGCTGTGCAAAATGGGGTTTAAAGATGCAATATGGTCCAGGAGTTCTAAAATGTGTTGTCTGTAGGTAGAGCTGTTAGGTTTTTTGTTACTAAACATATATTGCCTTTATGTTATCGTTAAAAGAAGAGAGTCTGCTATGCAAAGCCTTGAACCTAAATGGGTATTGCTTGGGCAATGAAATGCTCTTCAGGCTGATTCCTGATTGCTAGCCTGTCCTTTAGTTGTTGAGAAGAAGTAATTACAATGCTAGCAGCAGAGCAGACCAACTGCAGTCATTTACATGCTGAATTTCACCTTACTCTGTTAAGAAAAAAAACAAGTCAAGACTGTTGCTTGTATTTATGTTTCTTTTGCAAACATATTTTACTTTGAGGCTTCTGGCAAGCTGCCGTTTTGATGTTTGGCATCAGAGTTTGTGACTTTGATCAGGACACTAATTTTTGCAAAGGTTTTCATTTTTCTTAATGTGATCAGAAAAGATGAATCTATCCCATCTGTATTAAAAAACAGGTATCTCCTAGTTCTTGTCAACCAGTCTCAGTTTCCTGGGTAGGTTTCATCTGAAATGAGAAATCTTGATGAAAATATTTCAGCCAGAAGAGAAATCAGAAAGGAATGAAGTCTTAAATTCCCTGGTGACTCATTTAAGCTAGTATGTGGCAAATTGGGTAGACAGTGTGTTCATAGAATGAAAAACACTGCCATAAAACCATAACTGCATTTGCCAGTGGCAATTAACTTGCCATTGCATAGTCTTAACTAAATGACTTATTTAAGATAGATAACTAAGGGAACCATAAGTCACATTAATTAGGTTTTATGTACAAGACTGATTTTTACAGCTTTTCTAATAAACAAGGTTTTGCTATCCCTACAAAATAAGCATTTTTCTTCCATTTGATTTCATTTTTATCAGATAATTGTCTAAGAAGGAGTTTCCCTTTATGAGATCCAATTGCATAGATCAGTACCTATGACATGTATCTTTTTAACATGTTCATTTATTTCTAATGCATGTTAAACTCAGTTCTGTTTAATTATCGTGGTAGTTACACTCAGGTACACGCTCCTGGTAATGTTACAGTTTTTTCTAATGATTAATGTAGCTACACTGGTTTATTTGAAAAGCCTGTTTTAATTTTCCTGGCTTGTGAATATATAGTACTGAGGAACAGATGTAAATATCAATATAGAACAGATGAAAGAGAGATCTCATGCAGTTTTCTGGTGGCTTCCAAAGTGGAAAATCCCACAAGTACAGATTCTAGAGAGAATAATGGTGATGTTTATCAAAAGCAGAGGAATACAGAAAATTGTGTGTGACTCATGGATGTTAACTGAGGGAATGACAGGGAGACTTTTTAAATGGCAAAACAATTTGTCATCCAGCATGAAAATAAGGTAAGGATGTTTAGTTGAAGTCTTAAGAGAATAATTACGAAATGCTCAACTCAAGGACCCTGGATGTGAATGTCTTGTATAGGGCCTGATACTGTAAAGTGGTGAGCTGCTTTTGTTTCCATTGATTTTAGTCAGAATTGATGGCACTCAGAGACCAATTGCATTTCTTTCTACAGCGAGGGAAGACATATCATGGGTCAGATTTTTACTCTCTCGATGCATTGAATAGCATTGAATGCCTTCAGAAGTATTTTCCCTGCAGTTAGTGTGGAAAGGTTTACTCACAATCAGGTGATCAGAAAATAGTTCTTTCCTTTTAAACCTGCGATATAAGTGATCTGAAAAATGTCAGATGCTTTTCATTTCCTCACCAAAGTGCTTTTCTCCAGTTCTCAGTTTTTTTATTTGCGTGTTTTTTTCTTTAAAACCCACAATCACCTTATAAGCGAAGCGATACTGCTCCTTATTGCTTCTTGCAGTGCAATCAGAGAATTTTCCGTCTGCACATCTGCTTCCTGCACTGTACAGGAACATTTGGCAACAGAGAGTGTTGGTTCCTATACAAAGAAGCAGCAGTGGCCTAAGCTTGGCGTACCTGTACTTACTTGATCAGGGGTTGAAGGGTTTTATAGGATGCTGTTATCAGGGCTTTGCATCTTTTCTGACTTGTGTACTCAGATATTGTAGTAGTAATGTAAGTAGCCTTTCTGGATTTTGAGTTCCAGATTGTTTTGGAGGTGATTGAAAGACTGTTGCATGTATTAATGATAAACTTTGAGTGCTAAGGATGACTGAAAGATGACTTTGCCTGCTAATTTGGGTAAAGATTTTGAAATATACTCTGCTCTGGATCTTAGCAGACAACTGTGTCTTAAACAAATGTGTGGGAAGAAGAAAAGCAATCCGGAAAAAGCGACTCGTATAGTTAGTAGCAATTTTCCCCCTTTTCCTTCCATTGAGTCTGTCTGAAAGTGGGTGTTTTTAACATACAGCCATTTCTCGTTAACATATGTGTGTTTATTTCAGCATGACGGTATTGTTTTTTTTCATCCCCCACTCTGACACAGCATGTTTCATCTGTATATGGTTTCTAGTATATGAGACATTTAAAATGGCTCAGTGAAGAAATGGATTCTTGTCACTTAAACATTCACTCTCCCACTCTGTGGAAACTTGATCATTTTAACAGTGTTTTAAATTCTGAACACCAGAAGATTAACTATAAAAAATGAGAGTGATATAATGTCAAGAATTTAAAGGTACAGTATTGTACCTGTAATAATTTATGTTAATCATGTTTTAATTTAGTCATTTTCAACATACTTGTATTTACAAATTAAACCACTATTATAGTTCTCCTTTGTTTGCATGATATGATTTTATTTTATATTTTTTTTCCACTCACCAGATGTTTTCAACACTTTGCTTCCCACTACTGTCATCCCCTCCCTTACCACTGCAACAGTCACAACCACTGTAGCCTTAACAACCAGCACAACCACATCGGCAACAGCCATCAGCACCAGAGGTACAGTATGCTTCTTTGTTATGGCCTGAAAAACACATTATAAATAGGAAATTATAGGTTTGATTTTTTTAAAGGATAGAATTTGCTGAGGAGAGCGTTCAAACATTTTATTTCAGTCTGTATATTTAATAGAATAACCCACGTGATGGTACTTGTCATGGTTAAGAAAGATTTCATATGACCTTGAATATTTTTATTACTCTAACAGTGTGCATGTGAACTTTGACAGGATGCTTACATTATTTGTATATATTTGCATTTAATTTTTTTAAGTTAGTAAATTAACTTTAATGCAAAATGCAAGCAAGCTATTTTTAAATAAACATGACCTTTTAATACTGGTTATTTTGGTACTAATGTTTAAAGCAAGATAAGTGACTTGGATATGGAATTACTGTTGATGTCATCCTGCTTGATAATAACGACAGATCACACTCTGTCACCCTGGTTAGTTTGTCACAATTTAAGGTATTCCTAACTGAGGGCTGTCTTTATCTTATCTGAACTACAGTAAATGAGCTGAAAGATCTCCTCCCCCCCATCTCTCTTGTTTTGTTTTGTTTTCTTTTCTTTTCTTTTTGATGTTTCTAATAATGATTTGTTTTGTTATGAACAAAATATAGAGCTTAGTTTTGTTGCCATATTCAGTGACTGATCAGAAACTGTTCAGTAGTGGAGATATGTGCCAGGTTTCACAGATTGTCATCTTCTGCTTAAGGAGTATTGGTGAGTGAAGTGGAAGATGGTTCCGCAGTGGTCTGCTGAAGGCAGAGGTGGTGCAAGGAGAGAGGATATAATATTCAATTATTGCAGTACACTATTCACATGATGAGATAAAATTATCCCAGGAAATTTGAGACTGAGTTATTAAATCTTTTCTCTTTGGAAGCATTGTTACGAGTCATTTGTGGTGATCTGCCTAATTTGTAAGCGTTAGCAAGTTTATTCTGAGCTAAAAGGAAATCCATTTTATGAACATCATGATGGTAACATATCACCGAGCCTCTTCCTTCGTAGTGCATTGGTGGCCTCTGTGTAATACTAAGCTGATATCAAACCTGGAAATAAATTTTTAAGCCTTAATATTACATAGTATGTGCAAAATGTTAGCTTAAGGAGAAGGAAAAGGAAAAAAAAATGTTGTAAGAGTCCTTGCTCTGGAGCAAAAAAGGAGAGGACATGGAAAACAGCCCAGTGCTCAAAGGGCTGAGTAGCAGCAAGTGAAACAGAATGAAGAGGATGATCATGCCTTTATAGACAGTGTTTGGAGTCAGGCAGCAGAAGCTTCCCAGCTTCCTGAGAGCTTGCATACTGGAAAGATGAAATGCTTAGTTTTCCATATTGGCATCTGCTGTCCTGAGTTAGTTTTCTTCTTCTTGTCATTATATTGTCCTAACTAAATGTTATGTCCCTGCTGTGATTATCGAGTGCACAAATGGTATTCAGGCCTCCTGTTACCTCTAAATGTAGTGTATGGCATCATTTTCCATTACTCTGAAGGGGGTTCATTTTCATCATTTCTGTGCCCGGCATTAAGGAAAAGAGTCTGGAAAAAAGGACCCCCTTATAAACTTCAGCAATAGTACACATTAAAATGCATGTAATTTGATACTACAATAGCAAAGATGTCGTTTTTTAGAAAAAAAGAAAGGAAGGTAATCTAGGTGAAGGTGATCAGTCACTAAAGGCTCAATGCTCACTTTTCCCAGAAAACAAGAAGATGAGATTACTTCAGACTAAAGGAACAGGTAGAAAGCTGTTTCTTGAAAAGATTGTATTGAATGCAAAATGACGCTCTATCTCAAGGCAGAGGAGAAATAGGAAGTCCGTAATAGACTAATGAGCTTGTCTGTCTTACAGTCTAAGAAATCAAAAAAGAATCACAAGCGCAGACCGCTATGAACATAAGCTGTAGTGTACATCAGTATGAAAGAATTTCATAGGAAGCCAGAAATAAATCAGAAACATTAAAATGCAAAATTAATTACAACTAAAAAAGCATGGGAAATATAACAACAAACAGGTATGTAAATACATCAGATGAAAGACAAAAACAAAGAAATGTGGTGTTCCTATACATGAATGATTAGGGCAAGGTTGAAGTAGCTGGTGTTTTAGCCAGCAATGGATGGCCACATTTGAAGTGCTGTTTCTAATAGTGACTAACACACTGAAAGATGTCCACAAATACGGAGAGTCCAAAGAACAACTGCAAGAAGTTTAAAAACATAATCTGTGAGGAAGCTGAAGGCACCAGTTTGTTTGGTTTTGTTTTTTAAAAAAAGAAAAATCGCAAAGAGTCTGATGATGAGTCATTTTCCATGTTCACTAAGGAAAAATAATTCCCTGAATTAATGGCAAAGATATTTAGTGGGGAAACTTTCTAAATGTAGAGGGAGTAGCGGCACAGCATAGCTATCAAAGTTCTATGATGTCATTCATCAGACTTGGTTTCTTTAAAAACGCTTGATTCCCATCTCAGACAGAAATGGACAAGATGCTCTTCTGAGGTCTCTTCCTCCCCTATCGTTCTTGGACCCATAAAGAAATAGTGTTCACAAACCTATAATGTTGTGAAGGCAGAGTTCTGCCAGCTCACTGCCTCCTCAAGTGCTAGGCAGAACCTTATTGTCAGAGCAGCACCTACACACCGGATGCAGAAAATGCATAAGAACCATTTTAGAGAGGATCAGATTTTCAGTAGTATCTGTTTCTAGCCAAGTAAAAAATACCACATAAGCATATTTTTCTTTGGCAGTTCTCCTTCTTATTCCAGTAAGGATTCTTTTAAGGAAGGGGTAGATACCAACATAAAGTGGAGAAGCTGTTCAAATTTTTTCAGCCTTCAAAGATGAGGATGGGGAAGGGGGGGTTTTGACTTCCAGGTAGGTTGGAAGCAGCATTTCTCTTTATCTCACTTTATCTGAACTTGTTAGATCGTCCTTTAAAGAAACAGAAGTTTGCTCCAGATGACAGAGTGGTAGATACTAATTAATGATATCTTTGAACTGGATTCTAACAGCTGAGATATCTTTGAACTGGATTTCCAATAACTAACATAATGTTCTTGCTGGGTGGATTTCTCTATTTCTGTTCTAAAATTATGACTTGATATTTCTGAACCACCAGTTTGTGTTCAGCTAAATTTCACAAGACATTCTTCTACTTTAGGAGATTTTTACATAGTCCACCTTGAAGGTGTGCTACGCCACACCTAGTCACAGGAAATGCCTTTAAAGGAATGTAATACAGGATATAAAGAGCCCAGAGAGTCTGCAAATTTAAGGCATTTTACATTACAATGACTGTACTTCATCATTACCAAAAGCCTGAATTCATGGGAAAAAAAATAATCTGAACATCATCAGTTAGTTCTGGAACTGTGACCTAAGTCTGCCTTCATTTGCCTGGAGTTTAGTAAATGAGGTGAAAATAAAACTACAGATCCATTTGGATGATAGCACAATATTTCATAAACATCCTCTTTAGTCAAACTTTTCACTTTCTCAGACAAACGTATGCTTGCCTTTATGCTCAGTCCTGCAGGAATTAATTATTCTTTTGCTGGTACATTACCTACTAATTCAAAAAAACTAAACACGATTTGATGTCAAAGAAGAGTATAGTGCTTTATATATTTGTCAAGGATGTCTTAAAACCTAATAACCATGTTGAGGAATGTACAACAAAATGAGACTAAAATGTATGAGAAGAAATAAGTCTAGAGGACTAAGGGAAGAATAATTATACATTGTATGAATAGTTTCCTTTCTAACAGATTTATTTTATGTTATTTGTGAAAGCTGTACCCCTCTCACTACTAATGTGCTGTTCTGTGAGCAGGAAGAGACACAAGAGGAATGTGAATTTACCCCTAGCAGTAAAATGAGGGATCCCTCCATTGGGGAAATCCTTTGTTAGCAAAAAACTAATTTAGCTGGTTCTGTGCCAGTCTTTCATATAATCCTATAGGCAAAGAAGGAGAGTGATTAGCAGTCTAGGAAGTGCCACCTCAGGTCAGAACAACTCTTCATGTTTTTAGATTCACAAAGGAGAAAACCTTGTGCTCTCTATTTTTAAATACACAGATGTACACAGAACCTGCCTACAGGCTGGGATTATGTAAATCCCTCTTTTTATTTTCCCTCCTTCTGCAATTTTTTAAATTTGAATCCCTTTCCTGGCAAGAAAAATGTCCAAGAGATTATAAAACTTGGTAACATTGGCTTACTGTTGAAGATTGAAATCTCACAAACGAAACCAAAAATAGGTACACAAGTAACATTGCAAGAGCTTCCTAAATTCAAAAGATAGGAATCCATTATTTATTGGATTTCAGTTCTGTTGCACATATCTGGCTGACTCAGTCTCAGCTGACTCAGTTGTATAATGACTGTGCCAGAATGTTCGAAGCTTTATATAGCAATGCCTAAAAACATCTCCAAAAGTCATTGCACATAACAGAGATAGGAGGCTGCTCCCAGGCAGCTGCACTAGGAAGTTCAAGAGTTTGTTTAATAGTCAGGGTGTCCAAAAAATCAATTAATACATACATCTGTATAAATAAAAAATTCAGAGTGAAATCCATGTTTTATTGCACTCTGTTTTTATTGTTTTTTGATTCTCGTATACAAAAAAAGATTTCTTAAATGAGATCTGGGAAAGTAAATTTAGAAAAAGAGTTTACAGTGGATTAAGGAAGAGTGTGAAGGTATAATCATTTTGATAAACTATCATACATTTAATTGAAATGCAATTGAATAATTCTATTTAATATCATGAACTTCAACAATCTTAGCTTGAAAATTACATTACTTTCTTCTTCTCCCCCTTTTTATCCAGGAGTCTACATGAAAAAAAAAAAAAAAAAAGACCAGAATACCTGTTTCTTTATAGTCAGTTAAACTGTAAGAATTACTTGGGCAGTACTTCCATTCCTCAGTTCTTTCCATATCAAAAGAATTTTATGTATTACCAGTTTTTTTGCTTGTGATTTCATT